CTCCTGCTAGGCCATCAATAAAAGGAAAGTTTACCACCTACAGAACATCATAGTTTCCACTTAAGTTTGGGGACAAAATAAAAATGCCCACTATACCATTTCTACTCTGTTTTACTGAGAACACTAGCCAATGCAATAATGCAAGAAAAGAAAAGTCATAAAGATTGAAAAGATTTGTAGAGGAGGACTGTATACATGGAAAATCTAAATGAATCTATTACTAAGTGTACTTAGTGAGGTCACCAATTACTAAGTCAGTGCACTAAAACAACTGTGTTGTCAGAAAAGGTGAGAAAAATGAACTAAAAAATGTCATCTATAGCATTTAAAACATCAAATATCTAGGAGTAAATCTAGCAACAGAAGTCCTGTGTATATGCTCAATGAAAACTATAGACACTGCTGAGAAGAATTAAAGGAAAGTCAGATGCTGATGGGTTAGAATAGTCAATATCGTTAAGATTTTGATTCTCCAGAATTGAGCCACAGACTCAATGTAATAATAATTAAAATCCCAGCACAGTTTGTATGTATGTAAATTAACAATTTGATTCAGAATTTACATGGCAGTGCAGAAGTCCAAGAAAACCTAAGCAATCTTGAAGAATAAGGTCAGGGGACTTAAACCACCAGATAGTAAGACTTATTATAGAGCAACCGGAGCCAGGAGTGGTGGTGCATGCTTATAATCCCAGCTGCTCTTGAGGATGAGGCAAGAGAATCCAAGTTTGAGTACAGCCTGGACAACTTAGCAAGACCCTGTCTCAAAATTTTAAAAAGGAAAAGAAAAGAAGAGATCTCCTGGAATCAGAATGGTGGTACAGGGTCAGGACAGCCAGCAAGATCAATAGGATAAAATGGGGAATCCACACCTGAGAATAAGGATAGCCAGAAAGACCAAAGAACAGATGGGGATCCATGACTGGATGACCCCCAGGGGACCTGCCAGGCAGAGGCTGAATCCCTGTACAGAATGGGGAATGTGCAACCTGGTTGACCCCAGGAAGCCAAGTCCTTGGATATACAAACGGAGGGATGACCCCTGCTTCACTCCATGTGCACCACTCAGTCCCAAAGGGTTGTATACCCAAATGTGAAAAGTGGAATTATAAAGCTTCTTAAAAACAAAAACAAAAAAACCTCAGGGCAGTACTCTCTGGACAAGGGAGTAGGCACAGAGTTTTAAACAAGACCCCAAAGCACTAAGGATAGGTGATTGATAAGTAAACACACTGAAGCCAGAAGCCCCGGGTACTGAAGGAATGGTTGAGTGACTTAAGGGACCCCACAGATATTTATGATACGGCTCTGACAAAGAACTGGTATCCAGAACACACACGGAATTCCCACGTCAGCAATAAAACAAGCCAACTTGACCACAGCCAAGATCTGGAAGGAACTCTCCAACAGGGCTGCGGGAAATGCAGAGAGGGGCTGTGGGGTGGCCAGCTCCTACCCAGGCTGCAGAACTGTCAGCACCCTACAAAGCAGAGGGGGTGCCCACCTGTGGTGTGGATTTTACTCCTAGGACTTTAGGTATACCAACCACGACCCTGTCCGACAGGAAGGCAGCGAGGAACCTCAAGGGAAGCCCAGTGGGAGTCCCCACCCCACCCTGCCCAGCGCCTCCCCTGGTGGGCCTGGGCGAGACACCTCCCTCTGAGCACCTGTGACCTTGGCCTCGCGCCCACTTAAGGCTGAGGACAGCGGGGACAGCCCGTCTGAGCGCTGCCCGACTCTGGGAAGCAAAGGCGGGTGCAGACTGTTTTCTTCTCCATCCGACAAGGCAGAGGACAGCTTCTGGCCTGGCTCCATGATGGCCTCTGGCTCCTCCTTCAGGCTGTCGGCACCTGCTGGGAGAGGGGCACGAGGGAGCAAGGTCAGCAGGCAGGGCTGGGTGGGGAGATCCAGGTGAGGGACAGGTCTCAGGGTAGGTGGACCTCAGTGAACAGGCCGGGGATGAGGAGGCCCGGGTGGGGCCACAGGTCTGGGAGAGGGTAGGTCTGGGGGCGAGGATCTGGGTGGGAGGATAGGTCAGGGGTGGGGGGATAGGTGTGAGTGTGAGGGGGTCTGGAGTTGGGGGAGACAGGTCTGGGGTGGGGAGACAGAACTAGGCTGGAGGGACACGCCGGGGACCAGAGAAGGGAGACATTTAAGGAGTTCCAAGGGGAGGGGAGCAGCTCTTCTCGGCGGGAGAGGGGTGGGCAGGTGGAGGGTTAGGTTAGGGAAGTTCTGGGGTTCCAGAGGGAGGAGGGCGGGTTCCGAGTGCGGGGAGCAGGGGGCCTGTGGGGTCAGAAGTGGGGACAGGCAGGCGTTGTGGGACCGCTGCTCACCCGGGACCGGTCCCGAGGCGCGCGCCGCGCCTCCGCCCCCTGCCGCGCGTCCCCAAGTCCTGCGGTTGCCCAGGGCGACGGGCCCGGGCTGCGCGGCGCTTTGTGCAGGACCCCGGCGCTGGCGGTAGAGCCCGGGACGAGTGGTGCGGCGGCCGGCCCGGGGCGTGGGGCTGCGCGGGCGCGCGGGCGGCGGAGGGCGGCGGGCGCTGCGGTGGCGGCGCGCGGGCGGCGTGGGTGGCGCGGGCTCAGCCGGGTCGCAGTCAGTGGCGCTCAGGCTGGGCTCCGGCTGGGGTTCTAGTCCCCGGCTGCTGTCCGAGCAAGCTCGGGGGCGGGGGCCGGGGCACAGGAACACGCGGGCCATGCGTCTGGGGAGGGCCCGCGAGTGGCCGCGACCCCCGCCCGGGTGACGCGCTTTGGCCCCGCGCGGAGGTCGGGGTCACACGGACCCGCCCTGGCACTTAGGCCCCTGCCAAGTCACAAAGACCGCGGTCACACCCTGCCCCTCTAGGGGCACCAGTCCAGGCCCTCGCCCCCTTGCTGCCCACAAGACACCCCACCCCAGCCAGAAGTAGGGGGTGCAGGGGCCGGTGTTGTGGTGGGGTCCTTCCCCACAAACTGCATAGGGCCTTCTCCCTGGACAGGGTGTCCTCTAGAGGGTGATGGCGATGGGGCGGCAGGAGCAGCTAGTAGGTCCCACAAGGAGCCTGCAGCAGCCTTGGCACCCTTAAGGTCATTCTTGGGAGCAGACGCACTCTCACATGGGCACTTCCTGGTGTTTTGCTGGACCCGTCTTCCTGGCCAGTATTGCTTGCCATGCAGGACCCCTGCAGTTCCTTTCTTCTTTGTCCCTGCCAGCCCAGCTTTTTTGGGGGGTGGTGAGGAGAGACCCACCCACTCCATCAGGGCATTCACTGCCGGGGATGGTTTAGAACATGGAGGTTATCTACATTTGGTTTAAATGCATCTTTATTTTGGAAGTTCTCCCCTCTGTGCACAGGTGGGCAGCTTCTCCTGGGCTGGCCAGTGCCTTCACCCACCAATACCTCTGCTCTGCCCCAGGCCCCACCTCCAAGGGTTATATCTAAATCAAGGAATCGATACCAAGGTGCCCTCAGCTCAGCTCACCCTCCTGTTTTACATCTCCATTTGTTAAGAATGTGGGCAGGCAGATGCCCGAACACCCCACATAAACAAACTGCTGGCCACATTTGCATGTTAGCATTTATTTATTGTTCTAGCGTATTAAATGATATATAAAAAAAGTGTAAATCAGAACTGACAATTTTGAAATTCCACTTGGGTTGTTTAGTTCTGTGGAGTGCAAGCCAGTAGTGATCCTCCAGCCACATCTGTCCCCTGATGACCACTGCCCCAGGGCAGTCCCTGTGACTCCCACCCACTCTCAGGAACAGGGGAGCAGATCCCACCTGGCCTCCTCAGGGCAGAGCTGCAGGGAGGCAGTGGCCTAGCCTGAGGACCTGGGCCTCACGTAGGCAGGAGAATGACCTCCATGGTGGTGCTCGTCTGGGCATGGCCTAGCTGGCCCTGACTTTGTCCTTTGGAGCTGCCCAGGACAAGGGCTGCAGAGAGGTCACCCAGGGCTGGAGATAGCTGCTTTCTTGGCGCCTTCCAGCTTCCTGAGTCTTATCTGCATTCCTCTTCTCCAGCTGAACATAATGACCTCCCAATCATGATTCCTGGCAACCAGGGCCACTGGGATCAAGAGTAAGATCTGCTGAGAAGGTCCTCACATCCCCCTGGCCAGGCTGCCCATCCCACCCAGTCCCTGGTTTACAGGTCCATTGGTGATAATGGCCTCCAGGCCTTTCTTCAGCCTCCCTGAGGTGGGGGCAGCAGTTAACACCCAGCAGCCTCCCTGAGGTGGGGGCAGCAGTTAACACCCAGCTCAGTGGACAGCGAACATCAGTGCCTTCCTGAGCACGGCTTCTCCTCTTGTGCAGGGAGGGAAAAAACATTTTGACTGCAAAAAATGCTGGAACCCAACTCACCAGGGATTAACAGGTGCCATGTCAGCGGGAGGATCCTGTGTCCTCGGAGGATAGGCAGAGGGCACACAAGCCAACTTGTGGCCATGGTTTTAACCGAAACCAATATTATTCTCACCCAAACTGTCCCTGTAGCCTGGCAGCAGGCAGTGACAGACATGCTGGAGAGGTACACAAGTGCCTGAGACACCAACAGCTGACCCTGGCCAGAGCTTGGTGAGCAGGGATCAGTCAGGCAGTGAGAGGCCTGGGGCACAGGGACTGCCCGCGCTCAAATGGGGTCTATCCTGCAGGAGCCAGGCAAATGTGGAGAGACCAGCTTCAACTGTCACTGCCGCAGGGTGGTGAGTGGCTATGCAGTCAGATCCATTTTTCCAAAGCCCCACAATCAGCTCCCTCCCTGAGAACACTGGCGGTCAGTGGTCATGCAAAGCTCCAACTGGACCTGAGGATCCCAGGGACACCCTCCAGGGCTGGGGAGGAGGTGGAGCCTCTGGAATGTATGGAAGACCCGGTGGAGACTTGGGGTGTGGGAAAGCAGTGGCAACTATGTGAAGTGGCCAGTTCTAGGGGTGGGACAGAGCGCTGGCCTGCTCTGCGGGGTGGGGAAGGATGCTTGGCGGGCTGGGCCCTTGAGAGGTGTCATCTCAGAAGGGGAAAGCGCAAAGTGAGGAAGAGCCACAGCACACACAGGCCACAGGGAAGGGCACACCAAGGAAGCTGGACCAGAGAGGCCTGGAATGTGGAGAGGCCTCTGCCCAGCTGCCCTTCTGCCATCTTCGCAGGGGCCTGGGTGGCTGGGCCACCAAAGTAGCATTAAGCTGACGGATCCCACAGGACAAAACAGCCCACATTCACCTACTTCAAAGTTAAGTCTGATGAGAATAAAAGCTGCCCTCAGGAAGGGAAAGGGTGTGTTAGAGAGTCGTGGCCACAGGACAGTGGGGTCTGTGCAGCTGGACGTCTACTCTGGTCACTGGGCCATCTGCACCACAACGGCTCTCCAGGCTTTCTCCTTGTCAAACTCCTTCAGGGGGCTTCTGGCCACCTGTGAGGGAGACAGGACCTGGGTTAGCTCACCAGAGCCACGCCTGCTGCAGAAGGCAGAGCAGCAGCCCCCAATGCACCAGCAAGCTGGACAGGAGGTTGAGAGAGGCCTCCACTGTCCTGCTGTCCTCAAAATGACAGGCCCCTCACTCAGGGTTGGTCTCTGAGTCTCTGCACGTATGGAGCCTGGGGTGGGGCAGGCTCCGGGGGTGGCTGGGCACATTCCTGGCAGCTGAGGAACAGGTCACCTGAGGCAGAGGTGACTGCATGCTGCCAGGCAGCAGGGAGGACAGCAGCCAGCCTCGTGGTGCACCCAAGCACTAGCATGGGCAGTTCTGGACTCTGGAAGCACAAGGTGTCCACCTAGCACTGCCCCATTCTGGACTTGACGCAGAACCAGGAGGGTCTGCACTAGGCCAGGGACAATGCTGGGACAGACCGGAGACCTCCCTGGAGCAGAGAGGACCAGGTACAGGGGCCCTGTGGCTGCTGCTCCCAAGGGGCCATGAGCAGCTTTGTCCAGGGACACATGCCTGGAGGGGCAGCCCACAGAGAGCTGCTGAGCCCCTGCTGTCAGCTGTGGCAGCCTCGGGACTCAGGCTGGCAGCAGGAGGTGGGCAAGAGGCAGGGTCTGAGCAGAGGGCCATGCAGGTGGCTGTGGCCTGGCCGAGGGGTGGGCATGACAACCTATATTCCAGGCTGGGTGGGCACCCCTCCCCTGCAGACCTGGCACCCTCTGGAGCCAGGGAGGGAACTCTGATGCATGGGAGTCCCTGGAAGGAGGCTCTATGTTTGTGAGAGCAAAGAAAAGCCTGAGGCCCTGGTACTTTTCAGGATCAGAAATGGGTTTGTATTTGCCTAATTTTTTTCTTTAAAATAATGTATTTCCTAATTTACTTCTTCACGATTTTTTTCTGGGTTAATTTTAAAATACAAAAAAGCATGAAAGGTTTTGAAGGACATTAGTGCAGGGGATGGTCACCTCCCCTGGGTTCTCAGAGGCCCCCAAGACAGGGAGTCTGTGAGAACAGGCCACTCACCTCCCCCTCTGGGCGCTCCTGGTGGCCAGCCTGGGTGTCCCAGGACGTGCACTGCAGCTTCGTGCTGACCTTGAAGCTCACGCACTGGATGGCGGTGCCAGTGTTGAGGCCGCCCTGCAGCAGCAGCACCAGTAGCAGCAGCAGCAACAGCAGGTCATAGGACTGCAAGGCAGATCGAGCTGTGAGCAACCAAGCAGCAGACCTGCCCACGGGCTTCCCCAGCACCCAGCACCTGCCAGATCCATCAGCCACTACCGTCCCCTGCACCTTCTGCTGGTGGTGTTAACAGGCCTAAGAGTGCCCCAGAGGCCGCCAGGCCCGGTGGACAGCATGGCTGCTGCTCCTCTCCCCACCTCAAGGACCCCAAGGACAGATAAGGAGCCTACAAGACCACTGTGCTTCACACTCAGAGGGGAGCTGGCAGAAGGAACCACAACCTTCCAATGAGGGAAGGAGAGAGAGGGTGGGGGTCCTGGGCAGTGAGACTCTGACCCACCAGCAGAGTGGCCCAGCTTCTGGAGACGCAGGACCGAGTGCCATGAGGAGGGGAAGGAGGTGGGAAGGGCTCCGGGGAGGAGGACAGGCCCAGAGTCCTCCTGGTGGCCAGAGAGCCCAGGCCAGACACAGCACCTAGGTGCAGCAAGGGAAAGCCTCCGTAAAGCACCCAGCACCTTCTGCTCCACACAGGGACGTCCCTCTAGGTGGCCCATGAAACACAAAGCACAGGAAGGAGTACAGCTGGCACTGAAGGGGAGGAAGTGGAAGGGAAACAGGGCACAGTTCCCAGAGGACCGCAGTGCTGGCCTCCTGCAGCCAGGCCCTGGATCTGAAATGCATGTAGAAAAGCAGGTGTGCCCCAAGAGAAGGCACCCAGCCCTGCCTGGCAGAGAAGGAGGCAGGTGCCCACTCTACCATGGGCACAGGGTCCTGGCACAGGTGAAGATGGCCATGGCAGAAAATGGGAAGAGAACAAACAGACCTCCTGGGTAGGAGCACTGCAGATGAAGGGGCTGAGGAAAAGATGGGTTTTTAATTTTTTAAAAAATGAAGGGTCTCATGACACAGGTCTAGCTGGGTCCCGGCCTGTTCTTACGAAACCTGGCTGAAGACACAACTCAGATGTCCAGATGCAACTCAGGACATGTCGAAGAAACTCCCCCATGCAGGGCCAGGAGCAGAGGGGAAACCACTGCCAGGCCCTGAACCCTGCTCCACACCTGGAGGGCGCCTCCCCAATAGCAAAGCCCCCTAGAAAGTGGGCTGGAGATGGGAGCAGAGCTTGCCGGGCTCAACGAGGCCACACACGCTTCACCTGCATGGCCAAAGCAGTCTCCCCTGCCTGAGGAGGAGGTGACCAGCCCACAGCATGGATGCACCTTCCCCTGCAGGCCCTCTCCCAGCCAGCACTCCGATAAAGTGCTGTGCAGATGGCTGGCAGCGGCCGGGCTCCCATCCCTAGGGCTGGTGGGATAAGGGCTGGTTATAGCTGCACGGGGTAGTAAAGGAGGACAGAGGAACACTGACTCCTGGGTGTTCAGGAACCACCAGAATAAATTAAGTTAAAAAGAAAAAAAGTTGGGTATGGTGGCCACACCTGTAATCCCAGCAACTGAGGCAGGAAGATTGCAAGTTTGAGGCCAGCCTCAGCAACTTAGTGAGGCCCTGTCTCTAAATAAAAAATAAAAACAAAAGGGCCTGGGAATGTAGCTCAGGTGTTGAGCACCTCTGGGTTCAATCCCCAGAAACAAACAAACAAAAAAGGGCCAAGGTCCAGAGTGATGGTTTTCGAGTCAACCTGTCCAGCATGGAAGGGAAGACTGTGGTGATGTGGCCACCTCCTGGACAGCAAGTCAGCAGGGCTGGCACCAGCCCCCCAGCAGGTCTTTACACAGCTTTGACTCTCGAACCATACAAACGTTCTAAACATTTACAAAATATCATTAAAAAGGAAAAAGGAGGGGCTGGGGTTGAAAGCTCAGTGGTAGAGCACTCGCCTTGCATGTGTGAGGCACAGGGTCTGACCCTCAGCACCACATATAAATACATAAAGGTATCGTGTCCATCTACAGCTAAAAAAATAAGAAAAAAAGGAACCAAACCCTAAAGCTGAACACATTCAGAAACCATACACTGGGCATGGCACGACCCTCGGAGAGCCACACAGCAGGTGCCCGCCCTCCTTGGTGGGATGCACCTTAAGACTGCCAGTAGGGACGCCAGCCCCTGCAGTGGCAAGCAGCTGTGTGTGCCTGAGAAGACAAAATCTGGAGCCAGTGCATGGCAGCCAAGGAGCCCCATGCCTGGAACTGGAGCAAAGAGGAGCAGACCCAGGACTTGCAGAGTCTGACTGGAGACAGCATGCGAACCCCACTGCTGAATAAGTCTGTCCGCTGAAGGTTCAGGAGCTGTGGTCCTCAGGAAGGTGTCAGTGCTCGCAGCCCCATCTAAGCTGTGCACACTGTCCCCACCCAGCCCTCGTGCATGTCTGGACAGAGACAGAAAGGGCAGGCCTGCCGGTGTCTACCAGAAGCACAGCGCTGGCCACATTTGGGTCAACTTGAGTATTGAGAGAGGGACAGCTGTGACCCTCTAAAGCCTGGAAAACTTGGCGGGTCCTTGGCAGTGCTCAGCAGAGGAGGGTGGCAGCCCACCACACAGAGTGCCAGCACAGGAGCAGAGGAGGGGTCTGAGACCCCAGGCTTACCCTTATTCACTTCCTGAGGTAAAAATGCCACCCTAGTGCCCTCACTAGACCAGGGGAAGACAGCAGGGACTAGGACCTGTGTGCAGCCAGAGCCTGGCCAGAGCCCAGCTCCACAAGCACCCTGCACCACATATAAATAAATAAAGGTATTGTGTCCATGCGCCCCATGCATCCAGGTGCACGGAGGGCCCTCCCAGTCAGGGAGGAAAGGAAGAGGGCCCCTGTGCTAAGGAGCTAGAGACCAGGCATCCACTCTGGGGCTAAAAATCACATGAGGACAGACACCAAACAACACTGTGTCGGAATTTTGATGGTCACAGGTGTGATGATGAGACTGTGATATGTGGGGGCAGCTGTCACTTTTAGAAATGCTGACCTAAGGCCAGCCAGCGTGAAGGGTCAGTTGTCCACACCAGACTGCACTTTCAGATCTTCTCATCAGTAGGAGCAGCAGATGCGGAAGGCAAGCTGCTATGGCACCTGTGTCCACTGCATGGTCTTTTCAGCCTGTGCTGAGGTTTCTGGGAGTGAACTTGGGGGACACCACTTATGCTGGTCACAAAAGACGCAAAGTATCTAAGGAGCCGTGAGGAGGCAGCTGGAAGGCCACGCAGAGCTCCACCTGGAGACAGTCAGACTCTAGCTTTTCTCTGACTGACCTGCGCCCTCAGTGCAATTCCGAGCTAGACCCAATGACAGCTGGTTCTACCGTGGCACGATGCTCAAGATCAAGAAACCCACTGCCACTGTGGAGGAGGGCGGGGGCCTGTGCAGGCTGTGCTAGGGCAGGCAACATCCCACAGCTAGAGAAGCAGAGGCAGCCTGGGTGGAGGCCAGGGCAGAGCTGCCCGCTGAGCGGCAGCAGCAGGGCAGTCAGGTGGGCAGCCATGCCACTGTCCAGCGGGAAAGGCACGTTAGATCCACCTCACAGTGCACGCACACTGGCTGCACCTGCGGCCGACTGAGGAGCCACTGTGGCCACGTGGTAGGTGCTTGTCTGTGCTGGCCACTGCCAGGACAGATCCAGTCTGCCCCAGAGTCCTCCTCAGACTCCCACTGACTACGAGTGGCAGTTTCTAGGAAGTTTCAGAAGAAAATGAAGGGATACGTACTTTGATGGCTGGTGGGTAATCTTTGAAGATCTCCACGAGCCTCACCACGCTGAAGGACAAGTACCCGGACGCCGTGAACAGCAGTGGGGACGTCAGGCTGCTGATGGCCAGCAGCACCTCCACCTGGGGAGGCAGGCAAGGGCAGACGGGGCGGGCCGTGTCACTGCAGTCAGGCAGCGGGCGCCCAGCGCAGGGCAGCCTCGGGAGCAGTGGGCATCACAGGTTGCCCAGCCCTTCCACACACCACTCCGCTCACCAGTCCCTGCCTCTGAGATCTGTCCCGCTGACCTCCCCATCTTCCCAACTCCTAGGGTACTGCAGGTCAGACTGGGGAGGGGCTTTGAAGCCAGGAGCAGATGCTGCCCGCACAGAGCCTCAAGCATGGGCAGCACAGGGCCGAGGACAGCCCACTGAGAAAGGACTGGTTCCTCCCCTCCCTTGCTCAGCCTCAGGAGTATCTCTGTCCACATCCGAAGTGCTCACTTCCCTGCTACCCACAGGCAGGCAGCCCTGAGCCCTCTGCTGGGGGTGGGTCCAGCTGCAGCCCTCCCACTGCCTCAAGAGCTGCTCCTCCCTGCACCCCCCCCCCAGCCCTGCAGCTGCCAGTGTGGGCCAGAGCCTTGTCTCTGGCACGGGGGAGGGGCGGGCAGACCTTCACCCACCAGGCACTTGCTGGGACATTCCGCCGTCACATGACTGGCAATGGCGCTTGGAAAACACTAGAAGAAAAAAACAATAACAGATTTTTTTCTTAAATTTTGAGACAGGGTCTAAGTTGCTGAGGGCCTCCCTAAACCACCCAGGCTGGCTTTGAACTGGAATTACAGGATTACCACACTCAGCTGGGTTTTGTGAACAAAGAAAGATCTCAGAGCCGCTGCAGTAAGATGGAGTGTTGTGCTCTGCTCCGCCACACTGAGCAGAGTTCCTGCTTCCAGCCAGGGCCGAGGAGCTGGGGCCCTTTGGGGCTGATGGCTGGCCTGGGCTGTTCCCTGGGGGCCTGGAGGCAGGTGGTCTCTCACTGGCTTGGTGGGCTCCTTGTTCCTTGAGCATTCATTAAAAATTTTAAGCCCCTAGAAAATCTACAAGAATGGTGTGACTCCCCAGAGTCACCTTGCTGGTGCCTTCTGTGCCCTCAGCTGAGCACCTGGTCACTTGTGTCCACACACTGGGCGTGGTCCTCACACAGCAGGTGTGGTGCAGTCCCGGCTGCCATCCTGCAGACCCTCTGCTTCCAGATCCAGGGCCCGGTCCCCATCACACTCTGCACCTGTCTCTTCTGTGGGCCAACTCTCGGCTCTGGCACCCCTGAGGGCTGCGCACCCCTGCTGCTCAGGTTCTCCCTGGGAGTCCAGGTGCTTCAGGGCTAGACAGGGGCTGCAGCTCCCAGGCGTCCACGTAGCCCACAGGGTCAGGCATCTGCTGGCTCTTCCCCTTTGAACCAAGAAGTGCCTCTTCCCATCTACCTCAAGGAGCTTGATCTAGTTCCAAGGCCAGAGCAGGCAGAGGGAAGGTGGTGGGTGGCTACCCACCTGGGTGTGCCCTCTGGTCATCCCCCTGGGCCATCACCCCTAGGCCTCCGAGTGCCTGACATGGCCTGGTGAGCTAGTGACCCAGGCAGTTTCCCAGCTCCAAAGTTCCTATCCACACCTTGGGGCAGTGGTGTTGGCCAGTGACGACTGACTCCTCTCAAACAGGAATGACCCTTTTGTCAGGGCCCTGAGGAGAAGGTAAGTAAACGCAGAGAGAGTTGATGAGGGAGGTGAAGAAACTGCATGTGCAAAGTCCCCGGGGTTGGACCAGATGTGGCTGCAGAGGTGGGCTTGGCCTCAGCCAGGAGGCAGAAGCATCCACACATTTCCCAAAGGGCCTCTGGCTACAGCAGGGCAAGTACTGAGGAGGGAATAAAAGATGGGGCACAGCCAGCTAGAAAGCAGCTGGGGTGGCCACCCACCATGGGGAGAATGGGGAGGACCCAGCCTTCAGCCTAACTCCAGGCCCTGGACCCTGCCTGGCGTCCAGTGATCTATGCCCTTGACCTCTCTGGCCACCCCTGGCAGGGATACAGGCAAGCCGAGCCAGGTAGCTTCCTACCCGAGAAGGTGTCCCACCTGAAGTGCCCCACCCTCTTCCTGGGGTCTCCTTACCCCACAGCTGCTTGTTCCCTGCAGGAGGAGGGAGGGCACTGTGGGTGCATTTAGGAATGGCCAGGGGACAAGGAAGAGCACCTTCCATTGTGAACTTGGTCTCTGCACTCAGGGGCACAGGGTCTAACCCCCACTCAGCTCTGTTGCAGACACAGATATCAGACATGTCCCCTGCTCCTTCTGGGGACTGTGTGCTCAGGCTGCACCCTGGGGAGTTCTCCTCCACTGGACCTGCCAGCTGAGTGGCTCACCCCACCCCCATTCCTGCACTGTTCCAGGAGCCCCTGGGCAGAGAGGTCTAGGGAGTCACGGGCCCCCAGGGGGAAGCAAGCTGCGGCCCCCATGCACCACCCAGCACGTCAGACTCCACCAGGGCCAGTTTCCCTACAGTGGGGGTCGACTGCAGCCAAGCCTGCGGGGCAGCCTCAGGAAGGACCGCTGCTGCTCTGAGGAGATGTGGACAGGACACGGGTGCTTGCCATGTCCTGTTCTTTTCTATGAGATGGTAGGGCAAAACTGAAAGGTCCGCAAGGCCAGGCACCCAGCGTGGACAAGCTGTGGCTGGCGGCTGGGCACACAGGTGGCAGGTGCAAAATGACGCCTGGGGCCCAGGTCTTCTGCACAAAGTACAGAGGGATAGCAGCTCTGGGTGTGAAGGGACACTGTGGTGTGACGGTCCCCAGGGGGGCCAGGATGGCCGACTGGTACACACTGTGCACGTTTGGGCTTAGCCCTGAACAGCGTGAGATCACATGCAACTGAAAAGACCCGCACAGTGACCCCAGGACCAAGTTCAGAACAGAGGCATGCGTCCACACTTCCTTCGTGCCAGGTGTCCTGCTAAGCATCTGCTGTATCAGCATTTAGTATGAATTACAGCAGAAGTATCACATTTTATAAAACACATGCTACAAGTTGCATGGGATAATACAAGTAATTGGCTGTCTTAGGAAACACAGGAGTGATATAAAATATTAGCAACGAATATAAAATCACACGCTGATCGTCCAGCCCTGTTTCCAAGTGTTCTGGGTCAGGGGCCAGCAGGACTCTCTCCAGGTGCTTTCCTGTCAGAATGCCATAAGACAGAGCTCAAGACCAGCCACCTTGGTTCAAGAAGAGGAGCCCAGAGCTGTGGCCAAGACTGTGTGGCCAGAGCAGCTGTGCATGGACAGGGTGGCCAGCCAGGAAGTACTCACAGCCACTAAGATCCAGAAGAATGTCACTGAGAGATGTGGGCCCGAGACCGCTTCATCCACGTTCATAGCAATGACCCCACCGAGGACAGCAGAGACACCAGCGATGACCTCGACCACCTGGGAGGGGACAGTGGGACAGCATCACCTCACAGAGCCACCACTCTGAGGGTGTGCACCCACCATGAGGGAGAGAAGGCACTGTGTAGATTTCAGCTCCCAGGGTAGGCCATGGGGTCAGTGGGCGGCCTGCTCTCAGGCTGAACAGGCTGAGCCCCTAGAAGCTGATGCAGGGGACCCAGCTGGCCTTGGGTGAAGCTCACGGAGGCCACGGGAAAGCTGGATGTGGATGTGGCCAGCAGGAGTGCCAGAGGACACACTGTCACAGGGCTTGTGCTGGGGACAAGACCGGCCGGCCATCCTCCTTGCATTCAGACCCCACCAGACCCCACATGGACAAAGAAAACTGCCCCGTTCAGAGCAGTCACAACACAGGACAGAAAGCTCCCCAAAGAGAGGACACCTGCAGAGGGCGGTGGCGATGGCCCACCACAGACCCGCAGGGACACCGTTGGCCTGGAACTAACACTCTACTGGGCAAAACAGTCTCCATGAATGAGGTGACCTGCAAAAGTGGAAGCTGACCAAAAGAGACACCCCTCCCAAGGTGTCTGAGGAAGATGCACTAAACAGGAGCAAAGTGGGGCAGGAGGAGGACAGAAGCTTGGCAGAGGTGGACACAGAGGCCTGGGAAGCCCAGGAGCAAGTCAGGAGCCAGACCGCGGAGGCAGGAAGGCACCTGGCGCCCTCCCCTCCCCAACCAGGCCAAGGGGAGAGATGCACACTGTCTACAGGAGGCAGACTGAACAGGAGGAGGTCTCCAGCTGAGAAATGTGCAACTTCTAGTCCAAAACCACCAGGAAGAGGACAGGAGAAGCCTCGGCTGGAGGTAAAGGCAGAGGAGAAAAATCCAGAAGTAGGGAGGAATAGAAAGGGTAAAATAGATAAAATTATGTTAGAAACCACTCTCAGAGGAAATGGGCTAAACTCAAAAGCCAGGCAGATTTGACAGAAAAACTAAAATAGGGCCTTGCACCATTGTAAGAAACATACCCAAAATCACCAGAACAAGATAAGCTGGAAATAAGAAGGGTAAAGATGCCTTCGGCCGAGGCCAGCAGAGGACAGTGATGTGCTCACGCAGTGGGAAGAGTCCATGGCTGGCCCTATCCGACACAGAGAATGTCGCTACACAATGCTCAAGGAAGAGCTGCTTGTCTGTAACTGAGAACACGGGCTCCCAGATCCAGGCTGGAAAGCGACAGAATTACAAGAAGTCAGTACCCACACTCTACTGGAGGTTTCTGTCTGAACTTCCCCAGGAGAACAAGCGATCCTGAACAAATAGGAAATGGAAAGGGCCTCCAGAGCTGGAGGTTCCAGGGCACAGTGCAAGCCAGGCCCCTCCTTCTTCAGCTGAGACCCCAGAAGCTCAGGAAGACCAGCTTCTCTGAGCAAGGCGCTGCTGGCCCCAGTGATGGATGGCTGCAGTGGCTTCAGACGAGGGCAGGACTCACGCGCACGCCCTGGCCAAGTCCTGGACATCTTTAAACATGAGGACGAGGATCTGACCCAGCCTCACACACCCCACCAGTGAGAGGAAATTAAAAGGGAAGTTTTTCTTACCGAATAGGATTTCAGGACCCGAGCAGGAAACGGCACTTCCTCCAGAGTGTTGCTGCTGTCGGAGATGGAGCCCTTCAAGGAAGCGAGGCTCATCAGCCACAGTGCATGGGCTCGGGGTTCAGCAGAGCTGACCATGGTACGAAGGGGCCACTGGCTGGTGTGGCCCAACAGACTTAAGGGGCATGCTGAATTGCCACCACTGTGGGTCCCAGGCACCACGGGCCCCAGGCACCACGGGCCCCAGGCACTGTGGGCAGACTTGGGAGCAGAGATGCCTTCCTAGGTAACAGCCAGGGGCACCACCCCACGCCCGCCTCCTTGTGGCCTGAGTTGCCTATGGGGACCCTGGGGCAGCCAGGCCACCTCAGGGTCATGATGCCATTGTGGAGGCCACCCACCTTCTTCCTCCTGCAGGGCTCCTCACTGGACCGTGCAGAGATGATCACTGTGGCTGCCATGAGAAGCTCCAGCAGGAGGAGCAGAATGAGGTTGAAGTTTATCTGCAAGGGAAGCAGGAGCCTCAGCCGCCCTGTTAGCCTCTCATGGTGGCACAGCAGGCCAGGCTGCGGGCCAGCGCCCAGCCCTGGATGGGCCCTGCACCCTACACTGCCTCAGTCCCACGCGGGCCTTTGGGATTTTTGTTTATTTCCCCACTCTCATCAAGGGCTATGCAAGAACAGGCTGTGGATGGATCAGGTTGCTGGGTGGCATCTGCCGTTCCCTGAGCTAACCCTCTCACTTATACAACAGGCTGACACTCGGTTTACAGCAGCTCCCAGCGTGACTGCCAAAAACTGCAAACACAGGGGTCTGAAGGGAAACAGAACTATTCTGGGTCCTGACTGCACTGGCAGTTTCCAGAATTTGCACACTTGTTAATATTCTCAGAACCAAGCCAGTCAGAGCCCCTGAGAAAGGCAGATGCACTCTGAGAACTGAACCAACAGCCTGTCCACCAATAAAAGATGGTATGTGCTTCCTCCTGTTTGCCAGCCCTCAAAAAGTATGCTGTGCACTCCTCCATTCTCCACTGGCTCACAGGATCGCTCAGCCTCAAAACCAGGGCATCACTAAAGCTGGAGGCCTGGCCTGCCCATCTCCAAGCAGGGACTGGACCAGAGCCTGGCTCCACACCACCACTGGCACATCTGCGCTCCTCCCTCCCTCCCCTGTGGCTGAGCCATGGAGTCTAGAGCCTTGCCTGGCAAGTGCAATGTTCTGGATTTGATCCCAGCCCCACAAATACATAAACACGATAACAAGACAATTTAACTGATAACTAAAAAATAAATTTATAAAAGAAAGAATGTGCTGGATACAGTGGTACACAACTGTAATCTCAGCTACTCGGGAGGCTGAGGCAGGAGGATTGCAAGTACTAGGCCAGCCTCAGCAACTTAGCAAGACTCTGTCTCAAAATAAGATAAAAAGCATGGGGGTGTGGCTTAGTGGTAGAGCACCCCTGGCTTCAACCCCTACATACTGCAAAAACACATGTGGAACCACATGAAATTAACAATAGCATCTCAAAATACACAAAGTAATTAATAACAGAACCACAGGAAGAAATAGGTGAACCAATGGTGATAGGTGAACAATTTGACATACTTTCCTCAGAAACTGACAGAGGAAAAAGACAAAAGCGTAAGAACTCTCACAATCACAAGAAAGTTGCTGCATTAACCATGTCTCCTTTGACGCTCTTCCATCTGGGGCTGGGCTGCCCGGGACAGGCTGCCCCTCCTAGGGCTGGCTAATTCTGGGATTGGCCAACGACATCATGTTCAAAGCACCCAACCTGCGCCCTTCTATCTGCTTGCCCATGTGGGGCCACCACCCACCTGCCCAGTCACCCCAAGGCAGCCAGGGACAGCTCTGTGTCCAGTACCTGCTGAAGGTATCCAGACTGGCTGATCCTAAGCCCCCTACGTGCCACGCCTGCTCCTTCCTGGCTCCGCACCACCACTAGTAGATCCATGCTCCTCCCTCCTGCCCCTGTGGCTGAGCCACGAGTCACAGTGGGGATGCTTCCTCTGCCTGTACCAACCCTGATGCTCCCCTGAGTGGCCCTGCGTGCCCCTCCTCTGGGGTCTGTTAGACTGTTAGAAGGTCTTTCAATAGCCGGCATCTCCTGCTCTGCTGACCTCACCATATCTGAACAGTAAAAAGCCTGGATTTTAAAACAAATGCAACTAATAAGCTCATCTACAAAACTCTGCATGCCAAATAAGGCAGAATTTCCATTCTTTATAGTAGTTGTATAGTACTAACAGAACTGAGCATCTATTAGTCCATAAACAGGCCTGGTAAATTTCAAAGAACCAATGCACTCTAGATCATGTGTTCTGGTCATAATACAATAATGTCATGCAAAAATAAGCAGCTGATATTTAAAAATAGGGACGGGGATTGTGGCTCAGCTGTAGAGCGCTCACCTAGCAGGTGCAAGGCCTGGGTTCGATCCTCAGCACCACATAAAAAAAACAGACCCATGCATCTGTTTTATTGGGTCCTCGATAGTTTATGGACTTTGTTGTTGACAAGAATGGAGTCATGTTTTTTGTTTTTGTTTTTTAAGTTGGACACAATACCTTTATTTATTTATTTTATTTGGTGCTGAGGATTGAACCCAGGGCTTTGCACGTGCTAGGCTAGCCCTCTACCGCTGAGCTACAGCCCAACCCTGGAGTCTTGTTTTTTTTCAAGTTGTATTTTCAGATGGACTACTGCTAGTACAGAGAGACGCTTATTGAATTTTTAAAGAAAGTTTTATTTTGAAATATTTTGAACTAAAAAAAATTGTAATAATACTACAGACTTCCTATATGTCCCTTTTAAATATTTTACATTTTTATTTATTTATTTTTTTTAATTTTGAGAGAGGGTCTTGCTGAGTTGCCCATGTTATGGGCCAGGCTATATGGGCAATGACCAAACAGACTCCATTTTGCCCTGAAACTCCACGTCCTGTAAGAAATGCTTCCCCCAGGGAAAGCCCCACCTCTGTACCCATCAACAGTTGCTTAGCATAGCATGTTTGGCAACACAACATGGCAATTCTTATACAATGTAAAATTGTTCTCCCTTTGGTTCCCATTTTTCTTGGATAATGTACCTTGTCAGAGATTGAGTGTCTAGATGTTAGAAACCATTCTTTAACTTGTACACAACTAGAGATGTTTTGGCCCACTCTCTTTTCTGCTTGATTTTAGATCTCATGACATTTGTTTATGGGTTTTGAATCATAGCAACAGTCATGTAGACTTGCAGCCTACCCGCTTGGACCACCAGCTGGTGGACCCGGACCTCCAACTGGTGAATAAAGTTTCCGTCTCCTGCTTTAAGATTGACACGGTGATTTATTGCAATCTTGTCTTAACACCCAGATGGCCTTGAACTTGTGATCCTCCAGGGTCAGCCCCCAAATTGCTGGGATTACAGGTGTGGACTGTCACTCTCAGCAACTTACACTGGATTTTTATAAGTTGGTTTTGTGTTTCACAACTTTTCAGAATTCTTATTTTTCTTCCATCCTAGGAGTGAAACCCAGGGGCTCGTGCATGCTGAGTAAGTGCTCTGCCACTGAGCCACAACCCAGCCCTTCATCTTGTTCCACAGTTTAATTTGTATCTTCATGGCAACTATCATGCCAGTCTTTTCAGAGACCCAGCTTTTGGGTGTGCTGAGCTCTGTTCACTTGTTTGCTCCATGTTATTCTTTTCCTTCTATTCAGCACCCTTTCACCCACCGTACTGTCCTGATGAGCTGGTTTCCTTCCAGCTCTGGAGCGGCCTGTGTTCCAGACTGTGACCTGGACTAGTCTGGAAGTTCAGGCAGGCTCTGCTACACTGCTCTGCTGGGGGCTCTCTGAGCATCCCCTGCCCCTTCAGCCACCTGCTGCCCCCCCAGCCACCCTGTGCAGACTGTGGGAATGATCCCCTCCCTAACTGTACACTCCCTTTTGACTGTCCCTTCTGCTTCTTGCCAGACCCTAAAAAACAGGAATGTGGGGCTATCTTTAAGTAGCACCCACTTATTGATTTATAATATCATTAGATTATGACTAGAATACATGACACTCAGAACTGCAGCTCTGAAGGCCACGTGAAAACAAGAAGTCCGTATCTCCGCTGTCCTCTGACTGGGAACAGTGTGAGTTGATGACCCCGGGCAGGCGAAGCTGCGGGATGCTCAGGCTGGTGGGGAGGACTTGCAGCAGGAGGCACTCTGAGCCTGACAGAGCACAGGCATGACCCACAGCCAGCAGCCTCACTCCTGTGGCCCAGAGCAGCCTGGCCTCGGGGGCTAGAATGCAGAGTGCGCAGGCGCAAGGCGGTGACATGCCACCAACAGGGAACGTGGTGGTTTGGAACTCTGGGGAGAGTGACAGGCTGCAGAGACCTATGACAAGATAGGCAGGTGGAAGGATCAGGAACGGGTGCGCTGTGCCACCAGCGGCCAGCAGTGTACACCTCCGAGAGCCCAGAGGACCTGGTGACGGCTAACAGGACACTCATGGCACACAGAGCGTGGATCCAGCCTCCAGCCTGTCTGGCTCTTTCCCACTGTGTGGTGTCCTGCCCCATGGCTCCTGCCTGTGTCCTTGAGCACAAGACAAGCACAAGCAGCTCCAGGCTTCCTTCCTGGGTCCCCACTGCTCAGTCCTGTCACAGCTCTGTGGTCGGAGCTCGGGTGGTGCTGGGATTCTGCAGGTGCGAGGCCCAGGAGATCCATGGCCACCAGGGGATGTGGTTCACCCCCCTTTCACCACGTGGTCATCCGTCTTGTCTCCCACTCTGTAGTTCACCTGCGTGCACAGGCACTGTTCTAGGTTACGGACATCTGTTTAGACAAGGAGTTTGTGATGGCAAGTGTCACTGCTGTGACCTTCACATGTGTACTGCCTGGTCACAGGTGTGAAGCAGTTCTCCAGGGCTTGCACCTGGGGTGGCACAGCAAATATCTTAGAATGTCCACCAAATCCTTAACAGTTTTTCAAAGGGCCGGCACTGGGCATCAGAGTTTCCCTGGGTGTGCGCTGAGCATGTAGATGGCTCTCGCTGGCTGTAGTACGCCTCTTCTCCCTGCTGCGCGCCTCTTCTGCCTGCTGCCAGGCAAGCTGAGCCCAGCCCTCGAAGGCTGTGGCTTCCTCCTGGGGCACTGGTCTCCCTGGGGAACTGAAGGGGCGCTCCATGTGTACTGGGCAGCTTCCCCATCCATCACCCTCTCCCTCACAGCATGCTTCAGAGTCTCAGGTCTGGATCTCCATGGCAGGCGGGAGGTGGTCCACCCCAGGTGACCAGGCACTTGTTGCGTTCCAGATCACAGACTGCCATCCATACATGTGAGGAGGCCCAGGCTGACCCAGTCAGGGTTGGTTCCCCTGCCTTTGCCAAGACCACCCTGGCAAGGACAGCTTTTTAATAAGCCTGGGGGTGTGCCCCAATCTGTTCTTCAAGGGGCTTCCTTTCCCAGCCCGAGTTCCTGTGCAGAGCTGCAGGAATTCCATGCATTCTGGAAGATTCCAAGAGGTATCCCCCCCCCCATGCCAACATGTATGAGTCTCCTGCATGGCCTTGCCCTCCGATGGTTCAGGATGTCTTGAAGAAAGAAGCCTTGTATGCCTGAGTATCTGATAATAACTAACAGAAAAGACTCTTCTAAAAGTCATGTTGTCCTGAGTTAATTTGTCTGACCAACAGAACTGCAATTGACAAATCCAGGTCCCAAAATGTGCACAGGTACCCAGAAGCCATGTAGAGCTCCCTTGTCTGCTTTGTCTACTGCTGCCTTTATCAAGGCCTCGGGCTGCATCCTGCGTTTCTTCATCTCCTAGGATCTTTCAGACTGCAACAGCCTCTTGGTTAAGATGATGTCAACATGAGATGCCATCCGTCCCAGCAACTGAGACAAGTCTCTTCTGTCCCCATTGCACCACACTGACAGAGACTTCAGATCCCTGGCTAGACAGGGCCATCACCCCTATCATCTCAAAGCAGCCACAGAAGATACATCTTGACCCTTTAAGAATAAGGGATCACAAGGCTGGGGGTCGGGGTGAGATAGGAATTTGGGGATACAGAAAAGGAAAGACAGCCCATCCCAAAAGAGAAGTACCCCCAGAGCTATTGGGATGCAGGAAACACCCATGTATTTTTTCAATGCAAAACAAGCATTGTGAACAACCCAGCCTGTCCTTAACCTGCACTGGGGCCCTTACCCTTGATCCTTGCCCTTGCCTGCAAAAGTTACCCAGGGGCCATGACCAAGTGCAGAGAAAACTGGCCTAGAATTGTGTACCCTGGCCCTGGCTTCACCTCTAGTGCACCTTGTGGCCCCTGTACCTCCACATTAACACTCACATCCAAGGGTTGCTGTCTCTCCCTCTGGAGATGGCCTGCATTCTCCCTTGAATGTATATTTCTTACTTTACCCCAAAAGACATCTCCCTTGATACAGCCCACATCTTCCCTGGAATGTAGATCTGCTTTCCTAAAAAAGGAAGGGCGTGCCATCATTTTTTCACTGTAGGGTCTCACAGATCTCAGATTTCATTGGATTTATCCCAGGAATTTGATATGTTCAATTCTACAGAATGATATCTGCATGTAGGTTGTTGATACGGTTAAAAGTTTTATGCTGTTTTCATGTTCAGCAAGTTTGCTACATGCTCTGAGTCCCTGTGTGAAACTGGCAGGAATCGCTCTTTCTGTAGGTGGCAGGTAGAAGTCCCTTTCCCATCCTTCATTGTCCTTTCTGTTTCTCACCTTGCAAGGCTAAGACACTTCAAATTTTGTTGAGGTTTTTGTTCTGTTTTGTTTGGTACCAGAGATTGAACTCAGGGGCACCCAACCTCTGAGCCATATCTCCAGTCTTTTTTTTTTTTTTTTAAGAGCCTCACTAAGTTGCTGAGGCTGGCTTTGAACTTGCAATCCTCTTGCCGAAGCCTCCCAAGCTCCTGGGATTACAGGCACGAGCCACTGCACCCAGTTGGTGATATTTTTATTTGGAGGCAAAATGAGGTGACAATGTTCTTCCACTTCCCTTAGTAATATGTAAACTGTTTCTTATAATCAACAGCATCACAGTTATTAAAACGTGTTTTTGTCCTGCCAGGTATGGAGCCCAGAGCCTGCTCGTGCAGGGCGAGCACTCTATCACTGAGCCACATCCACAGCCCTGTTACTATTAATTTTTTAAGAGTTGTTGCAAAAGAGATGTTAAAATATTGCTTATAAATAAATTAATTCACTGAAATCAGTTAAGTGTTCAGTGGAGATAATTCTCCTCAAAAGCATGAATCCAGTTCTCAACACTGTCAATTTGGGAGTCTTGGAAAACATCAGGGCATATCCCCACTCACTCAGACATCCACTGCACCCCCTCAGTGCTGGCAGAAGCCCAGCAGCTGATGTCAGCAGAAGGTGTGGCCCAGGTCCCTTCCAGTGACTCACGTTGATTGCTGATGGATTCAGGACCAGTTTGCACCCAAACCATATCAAGCACGTGGTGGTGACAGCAAATGTGGAAACAAACAGTATCTGAAAGTTGGGAATCTGGAAGACAAGGCAGCTCGTCAGCTAGAACCCTGAGCACATGAGGGGAAGCACTGGGGGTGGCCCCACCTATCCCTGGGCAGCCCTATGGGCAGCCCTGTGGCTGACCCACCTCCCTCCACCGCTCTTCCCTGTGGAGGCTGCCCAGAAGGACTTACCGCACTGACATTTCTCCTTGAAACAGCGAAGCTCACGATGGCTGAGGGGATGCACTGCAAAGAAAGCAGAGCTGGTGAGCACCCTGCTGGCCATGGCTTCAGTCCCAGCCCTGCAGTGACAGCAATGCCTGATGGGATAATCCCAGCCATGTTGGCAAACAAGTGTTGGGGGTCACTTGATGCAGGGGACCCTCGACACTGACAGCCCCAGTTACTTCAAGACAATTCATCCTGAAAAAGGGTTTCTAGCCAGGCACACTTGGATCCCAAATATAATTTAGTATCATTGCACAAGACCAGAATGTTCTCACCTGGAGAACTACACAGAAGGAAAAAGCCTTGGTGGGGAGGAGGCACAAGAGTTCTCTGGTGTCCAGGGTCCCACAGCCCAGGAGTGCTCATCCAGGCCACACCCTCTGACCCCACTATGGTCCCAAGGCTGGGAGTGGGCCAGCTAATAAGGGGACCAAACCCTGGGGGGAGCTGTGGATAGGGCCTCTGAGAAGCAGAGAGGATGTGTCTGCAGACAGTGGGGATGCGAGCAGGAGGAGCCCATGGGGGGCCTGAGCTGAGGATCCAGGGGGACAGGTTGGCTGGTGTCCTAGGGGCCAAGCTCTGGTAGCCAAGACAGGCCACCAGAGGCAGAGCTCTCTCCCAGACAACTATGAGGGGGAAGGGACACTGCTAATGTGGAGCCGACCGGGAGCACTCTGGGTCTCAGGTGGAGGTCACTGCCCCCGACAAGGGCAGCTCCCACGGTGAGGACCTGAGGCCAAGAAGGTGGTTCCAGAGAGAGCAGGAGGGAAAGGTGTCACCTTCTGCTAAGAAGGTCTGTCCTAAGAGCCCAAGGGAGATGCTGGGCGTGGGGCGTGAGGAAGCTCATGTGTTGTCTTTTAGGGCATGTGGCCACTGATGGGGTGGGGCAGGAGAACTAGCTGGAGGCTGGAAAGGGACAGACTCCCAGGACCTTCTGCCTGTACAGGCCTGTCACCAGCTGGAACCCCAAGGAGAACCCAGACCTTGGTGGCTTTCCCTACTGACATACAAGACCTCAGTGGACAGTATGCTTTATGATTGAGCTGGCCAGACAGGGGATGGCTGGAACCACAGGCCCTGGAGGTCTGCGGTTGTCTCTCCTCCCCTCCTGTGAGGACCACTGTCACTCCCCAGCCAGCCTGGGCACTAAGTGAAATTCCATAAACAGGGCACCAAGCTTTGGTCCCCCAAAGACAGATTCCCCCACTAGCTCACTGTCAGCTGGAGCCTATGCAACTGCAGGTAGGAATCAAAAGTGCTATTTCTTGTACCAAGTCTCGGGAATGAGATTCAGACCTACTTAACTGGAGCTTTAGAAGTAGTAAACCCTATTTGAAATTAAAGTCATACAAGAGATCATTGAATGAGAAACAAGTGGCAGGGACCCAAAGTCAGGGCAGGGACTAGGGCACTGGCAGGCATGGCTGGAGGGCTGCTTACAGAGCCCGCTGCACACCGTAAGTAATCCATCTCAGAGGGGAACACGTTGCCCAGGTAGAGGGAGAATCCCGAGGTCACAAGAAGGCAGCTCTGCAAAACAGCAACACAAACTCAGTTCACAACATGGTTCTGTCTGCAAATTACACATGCAAGGAGTGAGTGGCCTGACACTGCAGCATCTCAGAGCCTGCATCTGGCCCTGTCTGACCAGGGCCCTCTCCAGGGACAAACGAGTCCTATGCCTAAGGCCAGAGCAGGGACCCCTGTGCTGTTATTTAGTGGAGAGGACAGGGGCTGTGTCAAAATCAAAGGCAAGAAGTGGTACCTCTCCCCAGGGAAGCCCTAGCTCCACCTGGTGTGACCACCTGACACAGGTCCACTCAGAACCTGCACACAGTGCCTGCCCCACCGCTCTGCAGAAGTAAACCCTAGCAAACATCTAGAACTGACTGCTGGAGTCAGACTCTACAGCCCAAGGTCCGGGCTAAACCTGGAAGAGGCTGCTGAGGGCCAGATGTGGTTGTGGCCATCCATGGGGGTTGCTGCAGGTTGGCCAGAAGAGCCTGGGCAGGAGAGAGGTTGCAGCCAAGATGTTGATTCTCAGTCCAGAGCCACAGGGAACTGGGTCCTGCCGTGGAATGGTGTGTCCAGGGGCCTGTCCCTCAGCTATGAGGACCACACCACTCCTTCAGGTCTCCAGTTGTCTGCCATCTATGTAGGAACATCCCAGGAAAGACACTCCGACATTTGATGCAGCCCTGCCTGGGGCCAGCTCAGACCTGAGACCCCCTCCCACCCTTGCAGCCCCGGCCTCAGGGACCCACAGGAGTAAGGAGGCCACCTTGAGCTAGTGTTGACCGTGGGCTCAGTACAGTCTCCTGGTGGGATAGCCGTAGACCTGAGTGGTAGGTGCTAATTGAAAAAAACAATTCAGAGGACACAAGCATGATAAACTCATCAGTCTCCAAGAGGCTCTCCAGCATTCACCTGGTGGCTGCTCCTGCCCGTCTCTAGCCTGGGAACAAGCAACACCTCCGCCGGGGGCCTCGGGCCACTGTCTTCACTGAAGGGGTATGCTTGTGGACCTCACCCCAGGGCCGTTGTCAGGCTACTCACCCCCATCAACACGGAGAAGACCCAGGTCTTGTAGCTGAAGCACGAGGGCAGCCTCTTAGACAGCTGAAGGTCGCCAGGCTTTGCGTCCGGGGTGTAGCTGCCCTGGTCCTGCCGGCCTGGGTCCTGCCGTCCCCGCTCCAGTGTGGGCATTCGGTCGTAGCCCAGCTCCTCCCTGAACTGCCCCTCCCGTGTCATGGCACTGGGGACAGGCATGCTGCGAGTGGTGACATGCGGCTGTGCTGAGACTCTCAGTTACAGGCCAGCGTTCACTGGTTTGTAACAAAATTATCAACTTTGACCCCTGAGAAAGCTTCAATTGCAATAAGCTGTTTTCAAGAAATAATTTTTCTTAACAAAGAAATATTGTGCACACGGAAATGTTATGAATTTAAAAAATAAATACTTATTTCTATAAGTGAACAAATCACTTTCCCAGTAAGACAGACCTAGGCAACATGGATTCGGGGTAAGACTTGAGGCTTCACTTGCTTTGGCAACCTGGGTCCTCAAACACACCCCACTTCCACTCAGTGAGCAACTTCCTACACACCTCACGCTGCCCTGGGGTCTCACTGCTACTAGGCTCAAGGTGGTGACTGCCCAGGAGACAGCCCAAGACTCACTTGTTCTGCAGCTTACGTCTGTGTGCTTACCTCCGCTGCTGTCCGGCCGTTGGGAGAACTTGTCTTGGGGTGAGGGGCTTCCAGCAAGAACTATTCACACATGGAACAAAAGCCCAGCAAAACTGCACTTGAGCCAAGGGAAGGAGCACTGCCTCCTGAATTTCAATGAGATGGAGTAGATCCTACAAACATCGCTGCTTGGTTGTGTAACCATGGCTCAGAGCCGTCCTAACCCAGCAGGAGAGAAAGGGCCTCCCTGCTCCTGCTCATCACAGACTCACCAGGTGGGCATCTCCGAGGAAGAAGCATAGCTGAGAGCAGAGTCCACCATGTGCAGGATCCCGGCCAGCCTGTGCCTGGAGCATAGCTCTATTCAAAGGGTGTACTGCATTCTCCTGCAGCCCTTTTCTGTCCCCTGTGATCACATGATGGAATCTCCTTCACAAGGTCACACAGACCTTTCTGTTGAGGACTGGCTGGACTGGCCCTTGCTGTGGTCCAGGTTCCGCCCACTGGTTCCTGTGGCAGTCCCTAGGGCTGGCATGGTGTCGCTGCACCCTTTATTTCTGCTCACCAAGCAGAGAAAAAGGACATGAACATATTTCATCCAGAGACACTGGCCCCTGGCAGTTTCTTTGTGAAAACTGAAAAAAGTACTAAAGTACTTTGAAAAACTGGCTCTTTAAACCACAAACCCACATCAAACCTGGACACTGTCGTCAAGTTTCAGATCACGGGGGGTTTGCTTGTATCAGCTTCTCAACCAAGCAAGCACTAGGGATGATTCACAGAAACTAGCACCTGTGAAGTCAAGAACTTATTTTGAGTGGGTTGAGAAACTTTCGAAACTTTTAATTTTAAGGCAATTAACAGTTACAGGAATTGGTCCAACTGGATTGAACCCTGTGCTTCTTTTTGTTTGAAGAAAAATGCGGAGCCAATTTCACCCTTTGGAATCTTTCAAAAGCTGCTCCCTACCAAGAAACAAACAGTGGCCTTGACTCAGAAGTTGCAAAGCACACCCCAAGGCCCCCAACGCACAGAGCAGAAGTGCATCCTCCTGGCTGGAACAAGTCCTGTGCTCCTGCATGCTCTTCCAACCATTCTGTCTCAGAGCTCTCCTCTGCCCCGACATTTACACGGCCTTCAGCAAATATCTGAGTGAACAGCACAGGCCACGGTCCTCCACACAAAGGTTCCTGCATGGACAGGAACACGTGTGCACCATAAATCATGTCAGCCGCATGGCACCTGACCTTCTGTCTCCAGGAAGAGAAACAGGAGGGGGACAGGCCTCAGTGAGAAGATATGAGAGCCAAGGCCCGGGGTGGCCTGGGCAAGGCTGGAAGAAGTGGGCACATGATCCTGGGATGCAAGGGTGTCCAGGTACAAGATGCCTGTGGGTGTGCAGACCACTTGCCTTTGACTCTGAGACAGACCTGCTGGAGAGCAGGTGGGGAAATAGGGCACGTGCTGCCTGGCACCAAGGTGGCAGCACTGGGAGTGGAGAGAAGAGAGCCATTCAGGAGAGACCTGAAAGAGTCAATACTATGTGCTGTCAGTGGCGTGGGCTGTGCTCAGCCAGCCAGGGGGAAGCAGGCTCAGAGCTAGGGTCTTGCTTTTCATTTTGGCAAACCTGTGGATGTCTCAAGTAGATGGAGTTCAGGGATAGTCCTGCCTGGCGGTAACTTCCACCACAAACCACCCCTGTTGGGAAGCTGGACCCGTGAACCCAACCCCCATGTCAAATGCCCTGGTCTCTAGGGTGTCTCTTCCTACCAACCCAATACATCCCTGGGATCCTTCTCATTCACCTGTGAACTTCCAGGATGAGTCCCAGGTGGAGGCATGGCAGGACTCCACAAGTGTATAAGGAAGGGGTCACTCCCTCCCAGCCCTCAGAAAGGAGGTTGTCAATCAGACTGTCAGGTCTGGTCTAGTAAAATACAGATGTCCTGATCAGAACTAAGTGGAACCCTTGGCCAACACAGCAGAACACACACTGCTTATAGCAGTATGTGGAACATTCTGGTAAGAAAACTATTTGTGGGCTGGGGATGTGGCTCAAGTGGTAGCGCACTCGCCTGGCATGCGTGCGGCCCGGGTTCGATCCTCAGCACCACATACCAACAAAGATGCTGTGTCTGCTGAAAACTAAAAAATAAATATTAAAAAGAAAACTATTTGTAAGAGAAAGAAAGCCTCGATAAATTTCAAAGACTGAAACATCCGGGTTTCATTCTCCGACCATGACCAAATTAAACTGGAAATCAGGAAAGTTCTCAGGAAAATCTCCAAATTTTTATAAATTGATCAATCTACGTTAAAAAAATTAACAAAACAAAAGCCCCTGTGGTCAAAGTAGAGATCACAAGGGAAATTGGAAACTCAATGAAAATGGAAGTCAAATAAATCAGAGGATACAGGTAAATCAGAGCTCAAAGAGAAACTATTAAATCTTAAATGCTTACGTTGTCTAGAGAAGAAAGTTCCCAAATTAATTAGATAACTCTCCACCTGAAGAAGCTAATAAAAACACAAATTAAACCAAAAAGGTAGGTGAGAAATAATCAAAAAATAACTGAAATAGTAAAGACATACACAATAAAGATCAATGGAACTTGGAGGTGTTTTTAAAAAGGCAACAAAATTGGTAACTCTTCAGCCGGTTGAAGGAAACAGAAAGCTGACTTGAACAACTGGCATCGGGAACAGACGCTCTGCGCTGCAGACGGGAGGGACAACTTCATGCCAGCAATCTGTCAGGTGGGAAGAAACGGACAGGTTCCTTACAGGGCAGAACCAGCAAACCTGGACAACCCTACAGCTACGGCCCGATGAGTCCCGCCAGCCCTACAGCCTCCACAGGAGGAAGGGGAGAGGGCCGGCCAAGAGGAGGCCAAGGCCAGGACGCCGCAGGGGCGGAGGCAAGAGCGAGCCCTGGCCCCGCCCCGCCCCACCCCGCCCCGCCCAGGCCCACCCCTGCCCTGCGGGGGAGGCCTACCGGGCCGCCCGGACCCGCCTCAGGCTGCTGCACGCACTACTCAGGCATGACGTCACTGCAGAGCGCAGGGTCTTCCAGAATGCTGACCAACGCCAACCGCCAACCGTCGCAGGCACGGTGAGCTCCAAGGGAGTCAACGCAGGCGCAGGCGCAGGCGCAGGCGCAACCGCGGCGCCCCCATTGGCCAGGAGCAGAGCGAGGCGATGGCATACGCAGCAATCCCATTGGCTGAGCTCCGCGGGCGGCGCCCCCATTGGCCGAGGCAGGTGGCCGCGTGCCGTGCCTCACGTGGCCCGCGAAGTCAACTCGGCGGGGAGAGCGGAGCCATGCTGCGCCTCGCGGCCAAACTCGTGGCCTTTTTCTGGAGGAGGGAGGACGTCCCCGAGGAGGAGCCCGGGCAGCCGGAGCTCGCGGAAGGTGCGCGTGGGGTGGGCGGGCGCCCCTCAGAGAGCCTCCGCTGGGAATCCCAGGGCTGCGGGCTGCGACCAGCCTGACCTGTGACCGTGACCCCAGGGAGCCGCCTACCCTCGCGTGTTGGGGCCGCAGCACGTTCTGCGTTGCGCGCGGACCAGGGCCTCGCCTGTCCTCCAGCCCCGTCAAGCTGAAGCCGCGCCTTCAGCTTGGCCGTCAGTTCCTCCCCTCCCAGCGGAACGCCGGGCGGCCCTTTTGGCTTATGCACAGTTCCTGGTTTGGACGCGGGTCCTTCCCACCCTTTCTGGGAAGAACGATCTGGCGGTCCATCTCCCGCCGGGACGTCGCGCCCCCTTGCTCTCGCGTGTGTGCCTACGAGGGCACCTCCGTCTCTGCACGCCTCTGCCTTATCTCTTTCCCTGGCGTCACTTGCAGTTGTGAGCTTTCCTCATTCCAAAAAAACGTCATCCGACCCTCTTCCAGCGTCCTTTCTGAATGTGATGAAATCGCTCCTCCTCTCGGATTCTCTCCTTTCTTGTGCCGCTAATGCTGGCAGACTGCCTCTCCCTGGTGCAGCTTTCCCCCAAGGTGACAGCTGTTTCTCCCTGTTCCTGCTTCTCTACAGGAATTGAGTTCAGGGTAGTGCTTCCCTTTGGCCTTCTCTAACCTCTAAAACGATGACATTCTCCACAAGAGAAGCCAGAAATATCAGAAATAGAGTGAATTGGGGCAGCACAGTAAAGGCCACCCTATGCTGATGTGTTAAGGCCTACAGCCAACTGCAACCTGGAGCAGGTCACTCATCCAGCTGGTCTCATCTGTAGAATGGCTTTCAGCAACAGCTTGCACTCCAGCAATGTGCATCACTGAGATTGCTCAGCTCTGATGTGGCCTGGGCCCCAGGCTTTCTCCTGTGAGAAGTCGCAGGGAAGGCACAGCAAGGACTGCAATTACAGTTCTCAGGAGATCTCTCTGGCTGAGGGCCAGTTGGTTCTTTCCCAGTCTCCCTGGGCTGCTGCCGCTGCTGCTCTTGATAATAATAAGGGAAGATGATAGTAACAGTTCCTGAAAGCCAAGCAGGAGTACGTTGTGTGTGTGTTGGTACTTGACTCTCCAACAGCACTCATGGGTAGTGACCAGTATTCTCTCCATTTCAGAGATGGAAACTGAGA